AAGGCAGGGTCTGCAGGGTAGGGCTGCAGAAGCATAGCTTTCTGTGAAGAACCATAGCTCTGCTGAACTCATATGCATTTCCTTCACAGACAGGTGCTGGGACATGGGCTCTGGGCAGATGTCTTGTGCCTTAAAACCCCTGGGGCCTAAGCTTTCCAGAACAGTGGGCATAGGTCAGAGGAGTTAGGGGTCGTCATGGAGAGAAAGCTGCTGAGGAAGGCTTGTGCCAAAATGCCAGGCTTTCCCACTGCTTCGAGGGGAACGAAACCCTTCTTGCGGATGTGCTTTATTTAACCAAGTTTGACTCAGTCAAGAGCCCTCAGAGTTTCGTGGCACTTTGACCGGAGTGATGGAGAAGCCTGGCCTGGATGTGCATCTTCCAGCTGTGCGCCCTGGCCGCCGCTTTCTCTCTCCTTCCTAACCCTAGGTTGGTCTCTGCAGCTGATGGCTCCAGGCCTGGTGTGGGCAATATCCTGCGGGAGGCATGTGGAAATCACCAGTAGGGGGCAGCCCAACATGCTCCTTAATCTGCTGGTTCCTGTCCAGGGCTCTGGGGCTGGGAGCAGAAGGCTGTCAGAATGCTTTTTCGGTGGTCCAGGGAACCATGAACTTGAGCCCAGGGGTGTGAGACCACCTCCTAACCCCAAAGCCCTGGGGTCCGGCCTCCCTGCAGTCACTTCACTTGTGTGCCTTTCTCTGTCTCTTTTTCCCTTCCTCGCTCCCTCCCTCCCTTCCTCCCTCCCTGCCTCCCTTTTTTCCTTCTTTCCTTCCCCCCTTTTCTTTTTTCTTCCAAAGTTTAAAAATTTCAAAAAAACACAACATAAAAATACTTCATGTACTTATATTCTGAACTAGCATGCTAGTATTTTTGTCTTTTTTTGTTACAAGTCTTTTTTAATAAGAGAAATTGTTTTCTAGTTTAATAAGATAGTTTAAGTTTCTTTATCCCAGACCCAACCTCCTTTCCCCAGGTGGCCTTCCTGCGGTCTTCTTTTTATGCTTTACAAATATCCTGGACTGTGAACATTATGCGGTGTTGTTTTCTGTGTATTTTTAAAAGTTCACATAAATTGTTATGTATATGTGTACATATCAGCGTGCGATTTTGCTTATATAGCCTTCTCAGCGTGAAGATCTCTTCCTATTCACATACAAAGATCTGGTTTAATTTAGCTTTAAACCTTATTTTTTCTGTTTCTTTAAAAAAAATTTTAAATTTTAATTCCAGTGTCATTAACATACAATGTAATATTGATTTCAAGCGTACAACATAGTAGTTCAACATTTCCATGCATTAGCCATGCTGATCGTGACAGGTGAATTCCTTAATCCCCATCACCTATTTCCCTCATCCCCCTCCCACCTCCCCTCTGGTTGTTTTCTGTTTCTTTTTTTTTTTAAGTTTTTTTTATTTATTTAACTAATCTCTACACCCATCATGGGGCTTGAACTCACAACCCCGAGAGCAAGAGTTGCATGCTCTTCCAACTGAGCCAGCCAGGCGCCCCCTCTGTTTCTTAATCGATGGACACTTGGGTTGTTTCTGACTTCGAATTCTGACTGTATTACAGTGAATATTATTGTATATGTCTCTGTGTGTACACATGTAAGATTTTTCTCGGGTAAATATCTGGAAATGGGATTATTGGGTTGTAAAGTGTGCTGATGTATCATTTGCCAGGATAAACTGCTCGTCAAAGTGATTGTACTAATTTACATTCCCTCCAACAATGTAAGAGAAATCCCCCACATCCTTGCAAATACTTTGTATTGTCAGACTTTAAACATGTTGTCCATCTAGTGGGAGAGGGGTGGTATGTCCTTGTTTTAATTTGCACTTCAGAGTTCTTGTGGGGTGAGCAGTTTTTCATCTGTTTCTTGGCCACTGAGGTTTCCCTTCTGTGAATTGTCTGTTATTACCTGTACTAGTTTCCATTCTAACCCTGTGATTCCTCACTTCATGGTAGCTCAGGAAAGTTTCTTGGGGGTGGGGGTAGAATCGATGAACAGTTTATAGCCAGCAGCTGTGTTGCGAGTATGTCTGCAGATGGTAACTTACGAAGGGCAGTTCTTGGCATCTGGAGGGCACTTGCCTGTCTTTTAATCCAGCTCTTCTGTTCGTTTTTCCATGCTGACTAGGAGAAATATTCATGATTTATCCAGGGCATTCCTGCCTCCACAGTGGAAAAATATTCTCTAGTGACCATTTTTCATAATTTCACATGGTTCTTTTGATGGTTTTCAGCACAATCTCCTGTCTGGTCTTAAATCCAAGAACTGTTATGCTTTGCCTAACATCTGACATATTTTCATCTTGTGAACACTGTGAATTTACCACCGATGAAATTTATCTCCTTTTCCTTCTTTTCTAGGGTCTCGGTGACTGGAAGGCTTAAAATTAAGCCTGTTACCCTTTATCTCTTCCCCCTTTTTTTCTTCTATGTCCTTCATTCTAATTTGTGTTAGCTCATTGTATTTTATTGAATACAACTGGGGAGTTTATCAATTAAAAATCTGATGAAAAATGAAATAAAAAAACAAAGGCTGCCAAAAACTAAAAGAAAAGTTAAAGATAAATGCTTTGTGCCACAGCAGTTGACTAAGTACCTGTTGAATATCAGGCCCCTGTCATAGGCATGGAGGATACAGTGATGCTGTCACCAAGAGAGCTGAAAAACGCTTAGATGATTTCAGAACAGTGACAGACACCACGCTAGGGCTCAGCTATAAGGCAGGAACAGCCTTCTCTGGAAGTCCTGGCTGTGACTGCAAAGGAAACCTTGCCCATGCTATCTGCCCTTTTTGCTGCCAATTACATGAAAAAGGCATTAATATTTAGGGGGGTCTCTGGAATGAAGTTCTTACTGGGAGATAATTTAGAAGAGGGTGGTCACTATGGTCTCTATTGAAAATGTTAGTGGAATAATTTAATCTAAAGTGTGATGATTTAGAAACATTTCATAACAGATCTTGATGTTGAAAATTGTTTGAGCATTAGGCTGGAGTCTTAAAAGTGTTTCCTTCCAGTGTAGTAGAAGGAGAGCAGGGAATGAATCCTTCCTGTGCATCTATTAAGTGCCAGGCCCTGGATATCAGGGAGAACCAAGATCTTTGAACAGAAGATGCCCCCTTCTATCTTGGAGGTTGCTTTTTTTTTTTTTTTATGAAATGGGTCCTTTGAAAATTATTTTTCTTTGGTGTGATTTTGCTTTCTCAGAGCATTTCCTTATTTTACTTTATTTTTTAAATATTTTATTTATTTGACAGAGAGAGACAGCGAGAGAAGGAACACAAGCAAGGGGAGTGGGAGAGGGAGAAGCGGGCTTCCCACAGAGCAGGGAGCTGGATGTGGGGCTCGATCCCAGGACCCTGGGATCATGACCTGAACCAAAGGCAGACGCTTAACCGACTGAGCCACCCAGGCGCCCACCATGTGTATCTTGACATCTGTTTTTCCTTTTATGGATTGTGTAGAAGAAGGGACCTATAGATGCTGTATCTTCTCCCCCACTGGTTACTGTTTTTCATTTAACTCACAGTGGTAAGAGCAGGGCTACATATTTGTTTTCAGTGTCTTAATTGGGATATGTTACGTATCTTAAATTGTTTTCGAAAAAGAGAGGGGAAGACCCATCCTGACACAAGTTCTTATAGTGCCTTTGGAACTCCAGTTGTTGCCCATCCGTGGATGTCCATCCATCCATCTATCCATCTGTCCATCCACCCACCCACCCATCCACCCATCTATCTACCCTTTATCCTTTGAATACCTACCTTGTGCAAGGTACTTTGCTAGATGCTGTGGTGTTATTAAGAGTTATAGATCAGGATCCAGCTGTCTTCAAAGAGGTTATGACCTAAGAAAAATAGACAGCTACTCGAATAACTGTAGCACAAGAGTAGTCCATGGTGGTAGGTTTAATAGCTTTGGGTTTGTATTACTAGGGATTTTATTGGTTGGAAGTGACAGAAATTCAGATCAAACTTCCATTTAGTGACACAGAGATATCTGGATCCAAGGGCTCAAGTGGTATTTTTCAGGTCCTCTCTCTTATTATATCTCATAGGTCTTTTTTCTTCTGTGTGCTGACTTCATTGTTAGACAGTCTCTTTCCTCGTGGCAGAAAAACTTCTCATGGAGGCCCTGGGACTGTATAATCTTTCTACTAAGATCCCAGGGAAAGAGTCTCTCTCTGTCCCAGCATCATCTATTCAGTTTTAGGGAAAATTTTCATTGGTCTGGTTGAGGCCACATGAACATCTCTAAGCCAATCATCATGGCCGAGGGGATGGACTTCTGTCGCCACTTTCCTCCTGTACTTGAAGGTCTGGCAGGTGGGGAAGAGGAGGATTCCTGCAGAGGGTGCACTAGGACCATGTGGGCTTTGTGAATGTGGTTCCTGAAAGGAGATATTGGTAGTAGTGCTGACCAAGGCAGAAAAGGGGGATCCGGGGTCATGAAAAGAGGGAGTAGGAAGAAAGGAAGGGAGTGGGGGAGGGAGGGAGAGGGGAGGAGAATTGGCTTCAGTGTTTTAGGAGGTAAAAAGAAGGACTGACTGGTTGTCCTGGCGTGTAGGGAAAGATGTAATCTGTCTTGCATGTGATGATGCCAGCATCCCTGTGGCCGTCACCATAAGGAGGAAACGCTTTTGAGAGGTAGCGGATGCATTTCCAGGTTGTTTTCCCCTCTGTACACAGGGGATACCTTGAAAGGGAAGGCAGGCTGAATTTGTTAGTTGGAAGTGATAAAGGATTAAGAAAAAAAGGGAACTTGGTGAACCTGTCGTTGACCTTGAAACCTGCTCAATCATGGTTTCTTCTCAGTCACATTCAGTTTTCCTCCGTCTTCTGTATTTTAAGGAAACGGGTGGGGCTCGGGTGGGGCTCGGGTGGGTGGGGAGGGCTCCCCGCCCTGGTGAGGTAGGATGGATGCTACCCCTTCTTTTCGAGTACTGTCTGCATTCTGAGTGACTGGTTTTCACTCTCTGCGCTTTTTGCAGCTACATTGCCAATCAGAAAAGGTTGGAAATCATCAACGAAGATGACGTTGAAGCTTATGCAGGACTGAAAAATCTGTAAGTACTCCGGACTGGCGTACCTTATCTCAGAACTTTTTCTTATGCTCTGTTATAGTCAAGCAGGCATTAACCAGTTCGTTCTAATGTACGTGCAATTATGTATTTTCTTAGGACAATCGTGGATTCTGGATTAAAATTTGTGGCTCATAAAGCGTTTCTGAAAAACAGCAATTTACAGCACATGTAAGTAAAGTTTGATTCTTTTGCTTCCCGGGACCCAATGTATTCAATATTTTTCCTCTCTCTTTTCCAAGACTCAACCTCCTTTTTTTTTTTTTTTTTTAAAGTTAGCATAGATGTGACAATAGCTTAGAAATATTAGCTTTGATATTTGAATAGCTTCAGAGGGGTACTTAGAACAGCCTGTGTATTCCCTTTCATGGATTTCTGGGCCATTTCCATCTTGGATGGAGCAGTAGTCCAACAGCAGAGTCTGATGTGAAAACTATGTCCTGATACACAGTCCTTGATTCTTTTCCTTGGAATCATGACATGTTCCCTGGAAGACATCAAACTAGTGGAATTGAAAGAAACTGACTTGGCCTTGGCCTTTTTAGGGAACTAAAAATTACCAATGCTCCCCTCGCCCCTGTAGATCCTCTTTTGAAAGTTCATTTTCTCAAAGCTACCTGTCGTGGTTGATAAAAGTGGGGAAAAATCAATCATGGGACCCGCCGAAGGTTCAGACGATTATAAAATAGCAAGTGTTTGCACTGAAGTCACATTGATGCTTTGTCAACTGAAGTCAGCTGGAAATATGGACAGTGGGATCCCTCAGGGTGTTTGCTGCTAGGTCCTGTCAGATGATGGCCTGTCGTCCAAAAGGTATGGCCTTCCTGGGAGGTTTCTTCATTCAACAGAGGCTCACCTGCCCCTCAGCTCAGATTGGTGTTCCTTAAGCCCTAGAGTGTTCAGTGGAGGCATGTTGCCTGCATTCGTTGGCCTTTGGGTACTTTGCAAATTCTCTGTAATCATGCTTTGTGTCCCCTCATCTATAGTTTACCTGTAGGACTCTCTCTTGCATTATCTCACTTGAATTTTCCAACAATTGGCAGGGAAGATCTTTTTGGTTCCCATTTCAGGGACATAAAACCAGACGGAGGAAGTTCGAAGATTTGCTCAGGTCCAAAAATGGAGAGTGACAAGAGTTATGACTCCAGGGCCCACCCCTGGCCAAGCTCTTATAATAAGAGCACGGGAAATAAAATCTATGCCATCCATATAATTAGAGAACCAGCCCTTCTTATAGTATTTGTCCTCTTTCTTTTCTTGGGGAGAACAGCTCCCCAGAGGATTTCCATGCCAGTTATAAAAGAAAATCATTCTCTCGGAGCAGGTCACCTGGACACTGTATGGAGATTTGTTGATTTTATGAAAAGCCTTTTTTTTTTTTTGCTAAAGCCAGTTTTGTGACTTCGTATTTTATAGGTGGCATTAATGATGAAGTCTATTTAAAAATAATGTCTGTAGAATGAAGATACAAAACATTCAGCAAAAATGTGATAAAACTCCATGGAACTGGATTAACACATTTCATTTAAATGCTTCTCTGGCATCATCTCTTTGGTTGGCTTGCCTACACAATCTGATGTCTGTGTAGGTCTTGAGGTCATGAACAAGAGAGAAGTTGGAGATGAAAAAAGTCAAAATGCTCTAAGGCCATCGCTTAAATGTAATTAATGACCTCAGTGGCTAAGTTCTGGTATTTTCATTACAGCTAACATTCTACCTGAATTACTCTCCCGACCCCATTTTATTGGCTCTTTTACCCCATCACTTCCCCTAAAGATGTGTTGTGTACAGTGGGGTATGGTTGATTGTTGTTTTAGTAATTAATGTATTTATTTATAAGGGGACTTATTCATAAAGGGCTTACTCGACCTCGTCATACTTTCCCTTCCTGCCTGTTGCATGCCATTTATAGGAAAACCAAAGCCACCTGGTGTATCTTTTCAGGGTGATATATGATAGAATAATTTTACCAGCATTCTATGTGCTGTCAACAACTTATATAAAACCAACTATCTATCCCTGTCTCCCAAAGAGGCATCATTTGAGAGTGGAAAACCAAAGAGATGGACATATCTTAGAGAGTTTCTTTAAAAGGCAGTAGCCGGGAAACCAGGTCATTGGTCAAGCAGCAAAAACTCTGTTGACATTTGTAGGCATGATCAAATATTAAGACAAAACAAAGTTAGACGATATTTAGCAGCCATAAGGCCAGTAAGCTTCATATACAGTGTTCATGGGTGAAAGAGGCTCCTAATCACCAGAATTAAATTAAATTAAGCAGTTGGCTTTGAGAATGGCAGGGAGAGAGGAGGGAGCAAATCAGGTGTCTGCCTTTGCAGACCTGAGTCCCAACCTCTGCTAATGACTGAGGACTTGGGCACTGGCTTGTTTTTCCTGATTTTCTGCAGTTACCTCGGATATTGACACTGTGGATACCAGGGAGCGGAAAAAGAAATGTACATTAGAAGCTGTTTCTTTTTACTCCGGGGGACACTGATTATCTCTGAGTCTCCCCAAAAATATAACAATGTGCTCAAGAGCAATCTATTTCACTTCGGGTTTTAGGGAGATTTGGATTGGATCCTGCCTCACCGCCCCTCCTTCTGCCCTGGGCATATTCAACATCACGTGGGGCCTGTCCATCGCCCCTGTGGCTGGTCATTGAGTTTATTTCTTGGTACTTTTAATTCCTCCCCAGCGTCTGAGAACCCAGGGGTTGTGAGGAAAGCCAGTGTTCGTATTTTCCAGGGGCTTTGCCGAGGTGCTAATTAGTTCCTTTGCAGAGTTCTGTCATCAAACAGTAAGAGGATTGTTGATTTTTCTTCCTCCCCTCCCCCTCTTTTTTGGCTTTTGGCCCCAATAATAAGTATGGTTCATAAAACTCATCTTGTTCTTTGGCGTGTGACCCCACTCGGGGCTGTGCGCTGGCAGCCCGACAGGACCAGCGGCTGCTGGTGCCGGCCCGGGGCTTCGTCGCTGACCAAGACCTTGACCAAGAGTGTCTTCTTTCTTTACCCCCTCTCTCCTGGTTCTTCTCAGGAGGAAGAGTCCTGGTTTTGTTTGTGTTTCCTTCAGAGGGTGGGGGTTTCTGAAGATGCCTGGAGAACACGGGCAGACTGACTTTTCAATGTGTGATACTCCAATGAAGCTCATTCTTAATTCACGTTCCGAAAGGAAAGAGAAAAGATGTATGTGGGCACATTTTACAACTTCCCGGGGGATTATTTTTTTCATGTGGGTGAGCACTTTATGCTCAGTGTAAAGACAGAAGAAGTAAGCGTCAAAGGAAGAGAGAACCTTTGTGTAGGTAGGGGTTTGGGTGAGTGGAACTCTCCATATAGAAGGAGGCGAGGACACACGCAGTCTCGAATCGGGGGGCCCTGGAGCAGCATTTTCACGTGACCAGCCTCGAATCGAACATTAGCTCCTGGGCCCCTCTTTGAGGGGTGACTGGTCAGACAGAGCGGGATGTCTGAGCAACCCGTGAGTTTGTTGGGCTGACTCAGCAGACTAGCCTCGGGGAAGGGGCCGGGACTCCTGTGACCCTCAGGTGTGCAATTTTTCCCTCCCTGCTAGCACTTGCGTTTCCAAGCAGGAAACAGATCCTAAAAGGCTCATTGCAATTTGTTGAGGGCTTGGCTGTTTTTGTCCAAGTTGATGTTTGTTTTACATTCCTGCTGGTTATTAAACACATGTCTGGAGGCCCAAGCATTGGACACTTTTTGAATAAATTCAACCAGTAAACACATTCACGGAACAAGTCAGCTGCCGGGATTATGGCTCTGAATTTTCCAACTCAGGGCCTCATGGCCCTGATCATCAGACATGGAAACTCCTGCCCATTGAATAAAACTAAGTATTCAGAACACATCAGTAGATTCATTAGTATTTTTTCAATCACAAATATGACTTGGTTTCATTGACTTTTCACTGTCTGGTTGGTCCAGATCTTTTTTCTTTTTTAAGATTTTATTTATTTACTTGACAGAGATAACGAGCAGGGGGAGTGGGAGTGGGAGAGGGAGAAGCAGACTCCCCGCTGAGCAGGGAGCCTGAGGCAGGACTTGATCCCAGGACCCTGAGATCATGGCCTGAGCTGAAGGCAGATGCTTAACTGGCTGAGCCACCCAGGCGCCACAAAGCCACTGGTTGGTCCAGATCTTAAAATGATACGTTGCTAGGATAGTTTCACATGAAATCTGACATATTCCTTGTTTTCTGATATTTTGTTGTTCTTGTCCTCATCATGGGAATTATCTGGTTATTTAGAAGTCATATATAAACAATGCCCACCGGAGTTATCAATCAGTGGGTGTATTCTTTCCTACAACGATGTGTTAAATTCAGTTTATATTCAGAGTTTTATGTGTCATGTGATTTCAAAATATTCATAATGCTGTTTAGTTTTAAAGCATCTTTTTCCCTAGTGAGACTTATGATTTTAAATTAGATTAATTCTTCCTATTAATTGTTCGGAGGTCAGAGATCTCTAGGAGGTATATAACTTGCCTCTGAATCAGCATATGAAGAATAAACTCTTGGTTAAGAAAGAGATTAAAAATAGACATTTTGGAAATTATGCCTGCCCCTCCCCTTCCCTTATGACCAAGAATTTTAGGAGAGGCAGGAAAAACTAAGTTGTCATTCCAGATGGAAGAAAGAGACTGTGTCGAAGGAAGGCATGAACCATGATCAAATAAAATTATATTTTGAAAAAAAAGAATCTCTATTTGCATACTTTCTTCTTGAGATGTTACATTTTTAATTCACATTTAATGTTTTTGGTTTCTTTCAGCAATTTTACCCGAAATAAACTGATGAGCTTGTCTAGGAAACATTTTCGTCACCTTGACTTGTCTGAGCTGTAAGTAATGATTATTGTGTGGCATTCAGAGAAACAGTTTCAGAGGAAAGAGTAATTAAGTATTTTTTTTTTAAATGAGTGATGCTGCAGATCTATTTTTATATCAAAATTCTTAAAAAATGATTTCTCAGGTTTTGGCCACTTGTTTTTTTAATTCCCTCATAAAAACATGATTAAGTAATCAAAACCCAGAAATCTCAACAGTGAGGTATCATTTAGGATGAGTTTAAATGTGATTTGTTTTCTAAAGGAGGGAAAGCAGAAAAAGATGGAGGGGGGAGTTTTATGTTATAAGGGCAACATATCTCATAGCATTGGTGATGTCCAGGGCCTAATGGAAAGCAGAGCCAGTCAAGGAGGAAATAGCCATGGGCGGAACTCCCTGGTGCCCGCTGGTGCTTGGTGAACGTTGCCGGAGAGGTCGTTCTTCTCCCTCCCTGCCCATCCTTGTGAGATTTTCTTCTGGGTCTGCCACTGCACTCAGGATTTATCCTGATGCTCTAATTTCCTTTGCTGCAAAATGATAGGAAAAAGATGGCCATGTGTTAATGACTGATAGCCACCGTTTCCAGGCATGCTCCATTCTTGTGCTAACTGTTGACATTGCTATGGGTAAGTTGCCCAAAGAACCCCAAGGCAGAGGCTCAGTGTGTCAGAGGGGGGCCCAGATGGACAAGGCCCTTGAACACCAGGCTGTAGCTTTTGCTCACACTGTTTATATTGCCTGCGTTGAAGGGTCTCCCCCTGCTCGCAAGGAAAAGGTGCAGATAGGTCTTAATGAGGGTTGCCTGGTGCCGGGTGTTGGCGATGGGCAGTATTTTGGAATACACTCAATTCCCTGGGCTTGAAGTGCCCAGGAATGGGCACGTAAACTTTAAGGAAGATATGAAACAGGGCGAGAGATGCCCAGTATGAACCTTTTGAGCATCACTGCGGAACATTTTCTTGACGAGTTGGAAATCAGAGTTCTGACTCCAAATCCACAGGCCTCTGATTTCTCCCAGCAGCAGATTTAATCAAATCACTCAGCAAATGTTAGTTGTGTGCCTGGTTGCGAATCAGACTCATGCACTGGGCCGTGGGGACGTAAGGAGGACACTCTCTGTGTTTCAGGATTCTGCTATCTAGTGGGAGAGCTAGAAGCCTAAACAAACGAGGGTCAGGTGCTGTAGCAATCACTGGAAGAGGGGGTTTGCCCATGAACTGAAGAAAGGAGCCAGCTACCTGCCGGTGTGTTGTGCTCATGTGAACATTGCTATAGTTACAGCCGAAGATCCTTTGCTTCTTTATCTCTTCTGTCGGTTTGGTCATGCCTTGGTTTTTGAGAGATTCTTTAGTTTTTCATGTACTTAGAATGCCAGGAAACCTCTTGCAGTAGTTGGAGTTGATGCACTGTGGATCTCTTCTGCCTTAGATTCTGTATCCAATAGCATCACATTCTATTTTGTTGTTGGAGGGATACTTGGAGGCGATCAAGCAGACACAAATTAAACGAGGCTGCCATGACCACATTTTCCCCAGAGAGACTCCTGGAAGAGTCTCCAGGGATCCCTGAGATTCTTCGAACCCAACCAGAAAACCACAGGAGTAAATGATGTTGCAAAGCCCAGGTTCTGTCCTCAAGGAAATCTTAAGTATTGTGGTTAATGTCGGGCAGAGCCTATGTAACGATTGTAAATGGCCTCATTTAAAGGCTCATTACCATAAATGGAATTCATCTTAAATAGGCCACTGAGTATTATAAATAAGCATTTAAAGATTTTTTTTCTTGTGGTTTTTATTTTCCTCTTGACTACTTCCTCTGTTACCAGTTGCAGGCCACGGGAGTCCCGGCAGCTCAGCTGATGGGTGGCTTTCTCTTTGCAGACCCTCCTGCAGCGGGCTGAGGGGCTCCATCTGGAGCTCGCTTGCTCTTGCTCTCAGAAACCCTGAGCTTGGGTGTGTGTGTGTGAAGGAGGTCTCAGAGTTCCCTTCCAGGCTCTCTTGTGCACATTTACTCCAACTTTCTTGCAACGGTTCCGCTGAACAGTGGTCGCCCTGTGCAGAAAGCTGGTACCACCTTACTGGCCCTCACATTTCAGCCTTCACTTTGTATTTACGGTCTCATTGTAAAGTCAGATGAAATCACTCTGCTCCCTGCTGTGGTTTGAGCTTATTAAATGATAACACTTGAATCTCTAGCCTGGTCAGAGATAAGTATGTTAGTGTTCCTGATAACTTAACTATTGGCATATTCACTGAAGATCTTAATTACTATATAATGGCTGTGATAAATTTGTTATGGCATCTGATTTTCCCCCATCCTATGAGACATCCTTTTCTAGGCTTTATTATAGTTCTGCCTATTCCTGTCTTGTTACCCCATTATTCTGAAAGGTCTTGCATCACTCTGCATCCTTTAGAGTCCATGGTGGTGTTTGCACCTAGCAGAAGATCAGTAAGTATTAGATAAATGAATGAATAAGTATTGTAAAGCTATAAAGGTAGGTATGACTTTCGAAGATTGCTGGCAGATAGAATTCATAATGTTGTAGTGCTTTGTAAACACTAGCATAGTTAACACTGGAAAAGAGAAGCCTGATCGGGTTTCATTTTTGTTCCGTGTAGGATCCTGGTGGGCAATCCATTTACATGCTCCTGTGACATTATGTGGATCAAGACTCTTCAGGAGACTAAATCCAGCCCAGAAACTCAGGATTTGTACTGCCTAAATGAAAACAGCAAGAATATTCCCCTGGCAAACCTGCAGATACCCAATTGTGGTAATTTACATTCGAATCAATGAATTCTATTTGCTATTAATTATTCTAATTGCCTTGGTGTAGTAGAGAGTCCGGGAGGATTATCACTACCCAGATTTTATATAGTATGCTGTTGAGGTCTCTGCTGAGCTGGGCAACGTTTGTGTGCAGTGCGGAGAAGTCAGCTGGGAGCAACTTTGCTGAATATTTTTTGCAAGTAGAATATTAATTCTGAATGGATGACTTTGAAGCCCATGGAGGAAAAGTAGGCTGTTTATTCCATTGTTTTCTTTGTTCATTTGCCTGGTCATGCATTCCTCTATCCATTTATCCATCCATCCGAAAACTATGTGCCAAGAGTGTGATACTTCGTTGGCCATGTATATATGTGGTTGGAACCCGGAAAATGGAGAGGGAAAGATCTTGTGGTGGTCAAGTGTCCTCAACAGTACAAAAAAAATGCAGTTTGATCCAGCACATTCCTTTCAACTTGTCTTGCTACCAGAGGGCTGTGTCTCTTGATGGGGCACCATGAATATGCCCTTATACATGCTTTTCCGTGTTTGGGTTTCCAGGCCCCTCCTCAGCCTTGCCCCCACTCCTTCTCAGCATTTGCACCTCCAGAGTTATACAAAGTCCCATCTCTCTGAGAGCCACTGCGTTTACAGGGAACGAAAACCCGGGTGTTCTGGTTCAGAATTTACTGCTCAGGGCATCTGTGATGTGCCTTGGCAATCCCCACCTAGGCTGTAGTCAACCAGCTAATCAGCTCGCAGTTATATTTGATCTTCTGGCCTCGTGGCTGGTGACATAGCAGAAGGCTTCTCGTCTGTGAGGAGTCTGTCTATGAACCACAAACATTCGGATTCTTTGTTCTCAGAAGACCCTATTGTTTGAGGTCAGTTTTTCTTGAAGGAAAATAGAGCTGCTGCTCATTTTTAATGAGAATGTCATAAAAAGAAAGATAAATATTTGCTTTTTACCCTGAAGGGGCTCATGAGAGAGCAGTTAGTCTTCCCACAGATTTCTCTGTCCTCGAGCCCTATGGCTTCCTAACAGGGGAATCAGGCTTTGTTCTCTTGCCAACTTCTCTCAGCTTTGCTAGCCAACACTTAAAAAAAAACAAAACAAAAAACCCAGCTTTTAATATATATCATTTCCTGATTGATAAGAGGGCGACTGTGCTCTGTTCTGGTATAAATTTGCACCACTGAGAGAAATCACCTAGAGGGACAAGAAATTCAGTGTTGAGTCACCAGGCCTTTTGACCAGCTTCCCAAGTCCATGGTGTTGTGACCATATTGGTTCAGCAACCACTGAGAGGAAGAGAGAGAGAGAGCATCAAGCTCTTGCTCTTATTCCACGAACGGCCCCGTAAGATAGACATCTGTGTTGCCCTTGCCTGAAACCGATTTTCCTTCTTTTTTTTTTTTTTAATTTTAATTTTTGGCCATGTTATCTTGACAGCTTTCAGTGATGCGCCCCACCTAATGTGTTGTTGTGAGACCATTGCAGCTGGGGAGGGAAAGAGTGGGAGGGAACTGGTCCTCATTTTTCCTGATGAATTTGTCAGTTTTTAGTAATTTTTTGTTGGCTACAAATTAGTCAGTGAATCTTGTGAATGAGGGAACTTGAGGAATTCACTGTCCTGATTCAGACAGAATGTGTTTGAGTGCTCCATGGGGATGGTTAGGTTCATGGTAACATTCACAATTGGTTTCAGTGTAGATGATGCTTTTCAAAAAGCAACATTGTAAAAAAGGTGAATGGATAGACTTACTTCTCTGCCACTTTTGTACTCTTAAACTGTTATGTTGTTTGTCTGTTAATTTTTTTCTTTCCAAGTGTTTTTAACTTATTTGTAATTGCACAAGTAATGTTGATACATTTTGTGGTTAAAAAGAACCTCCTGTATTACACATAAAGTTTGTGTTTCTCTTGTTTGTAACCATTTCAGGTTAGTGGTTACGGATCTATAATATTCTTTTTCATCAGTGCATGGTATTCTTGGTAGACTCTATCTTAATTACATTAAAATTTCCACATTGATGGGCATTTAGCTTATTTCCCATTTTTCGCCACTCCAGAAATGTTTTGACAAGCATCTTTTCATGTGCTCTTTGTACCTGTGTACAGATGAAAAGGTTTTCCTAGAGTACATAGCAGGAAGCGGAATTTTGGCTGATATGGTTTGCGCATTAAAAAAACAGCTGTTCCAATTTATAGCCACTTCAGCAAAGCATATCTTAATATTAGCACACTTCTTATTTGTTTATTTTTCTAAAAAATGGTGGGTCATTGCTTTTTGGTTTGCCTTTTCCTGATGACTGTTGGGTATCTTCTGTGTTTATAGGACATTGTGTTTATTCTTTGGTGGATTGCCTATTTATAACCTTTCTCTATTTTTCTATAGTGTTTTCCTTTTCCATTTCTAGTGTCTTTTTATTTAATTCTTTAAAAATTTTATTTTATTATGTTACATTAGTCACCATACAGTACATCATTTAATTTTTTCTTAACTTGTTTGAAGGTTATAAATTGTTTCTTTGTTTTTGGAAATATGCCCAAATATTCACCACCCATATTAAAACATATTTTTCTTGTAAGTGTCTAGAGATAGCTCCAACAAGACAGGAAAAAGTAGTCTTATTTCTTTTTACTTTCTCCTCCCGTCTTCAGATTATTGTCAACTAGGATTTTGTTTGTAGATTGTTACTTGATGGTTTTGAAGATTTACTGTTTCTTTGTATATATCATTAACTTTTGTATCCTACTGCCTTTTGGAGTGGATTTTCTTTTTGCTGGTGTGTATCCTCTAATATTTCTTTCAGAGAAACTAAAAAACATAAAATCTTTAAGTTCTTGCCTGGTGGAAAATCAGACTGTATTTGTTCTTCTCAGTGGAATTGGCTGAGTATGCATTTCTAGACTCGAACAAATTCCTTTTAGACCTCTGAAGGTATTGTATTACATTTTTCCTTGTATTCAGTGTCGCTGATGAGAAGCTTGAGGCCAGTCTTATGCTTGCTTCTTGACAGGGAACCTATGCTTTTCTTTTCCTTCTAGAAGCTTTGAAGATTTTCTCCTTTTCCGCATTATTCTAAAATTTTTACTGCAACGTAACTAGGTGTGTGTGTGTGTGTGTGTGTGTGTGTGTGTGTGTGTGTGTTTTAAAAAAATTCATTGTTTGACATGCAGCCTACTCTTTCAGTATGGGGGGTTTTGTCTGCAGTTCTGGGAGAATTTTCTAATTTATGCAGATGGTTATTTACACTTAAGGGCTCTACCCTCCGTACCCCTCAGCCTCAGTACCACTTTCCATCTGCTTGTCCTTTTGCACTGTATTATGGGGAAATGGGTTGACTCACTCCTTTGGCCTTCAGCTGTTTCTCCAGATATTGAATTTTTCCCTTTCAACACTCAGTTTCTAATTTCTGCAATCTTGAGTGATTTTTTTTTTTAATAACAGAAACACCCTTTCCTGTGTTGGGGTTCACCATATCTCTAGGGTGTCACCAGCACCTAGCAGTACTGATTTTTTTCTGGTAAAGTTCCTGCACTCATTGCTTCTTGTTGGATGCTGCGTCCGCAGTGAGTGGATAGGGACAGGATGTGAAAAGGCTATTTCTCTTGTTGTGTTTACTTATTTTCTGAACCAGTGGCCCCATGGCTCAGCCAAGGTGGGGCTCCACTCTGTCCTGCAGTCTACCCCTTCAGTCTGGGGTCAGCCTAGAGCCTCCCTATTTTGTGCACTGAATACTTATGTGTCCCTTTGGGGCTGTGTTGATTTTCTTTCATCCCACTCTCTCACTTTCTCTTGTTCAGGGGTTTCTCAGGGTGTCTTATCCACTAGCAGTATGTTTTCTCATTTTCCAGCATGGTTCTGGAGTTTTAAAAAATTTTGCATAATAATTATTTTGGGGATTTGAGATCAGAAGGGGGGAAACTTCAGTTTAGAGCTTATTCTTACATTACTTCATCACAGTTTCCCATTTTAGGCTCTTTAAAGAGAAGTTAGGCAAATTGAGCAGTAGATTTATACCAGGTGTTTGGATTTAAATTGTTTCTGAAAGTCCTTACTAAAGAAATTGGATAATATGCTACTGTCTTCAAATTAGATATCTTGTTTAGAGCATGGATTTGTGGTTGGTTGGCTTTTCTTTTAGGTCTTGCCCTCTGTAGACTTCTAAAATAAAATATGTTGTGTTTAATTACATCACAGATTCATGGAGCTCATCTTCACTTTTTTTTTTTTTTGGATGCAACTTGTTAGCTAAGTGTATGAGTAACTCATAAGAGTACTGTATGGTCTTGTGTGTTTGTTTTGTCATTGTAAGCCAACGGTTTGCCAATAACTATGGCTACTGAGTTAATTTGCAACTGGTAACATTTTAATTTCAATAAGAAAGAGCTACTGAGATTTCATTCCTTTATTAGGTGGGCTTTCTTTAAAAACTTCCCCTTTTAGTATTGCACATGTAAGTATTATATTAACAAACTCTCTACATTTTATAAACAAAAATACATCCCCCATGGTGTCAATGTATCCCTCGAATGTAATAGGCATTTGATTAATGTTTGCTGAATTCATCAATTAATAAATGCATGAGCCATGCACGTTATAGTAGTGATCAGTTTGGACTGGATTTTTTTTTTTAAGATTTTATGTATTTGAGAGCAAGTGAGCAAGCCCAAGCAGGGGGGAGGGGTAGAGCGAGAAGCAGACTCCCCATCAAGCGGAGAGCCTGATGTGGGACTCAATCCCGAGCTTAAGGCAGACACTTAACCGACTGAGCCACTCAGGCACCAGGTTGGACCAGATTTTTATATAATGGTGTAGATATTTCAGTTATGATAACTTAAAGATTTATATTATTCTAGCTAAATTATTCCATATATTAGCATTTTGTCGTTCCCGTTGAAATTTCTGTCATCATCCCATTTTGAAAGAGTCTCATGTTCCTTCTGCTCTTAGTGATTAAGTGAGTGTGGTTGGTGCAGCTGGGAAGTTTAATGGCCCT